GTCAATCCCCACTATTCGTTGGTAAAAGAGTAGACCAAGAGTTGGCAGTGGGTGGTGATGACTAGCTGCCTTCCCTCTAGCCTTACACCGCTAAATTAGGGACGACTAGCGCAGATAGCCCTCGTGTAGGTTTGCGCGAAATTCAAAACAAACAAACAAACAAAGCGACGGTCATTCCCGCTATTCGTTGGTAAAGAGTAGCCAAAGAGTTGACAGTGGGTGGTTTTGAATATCTACATTCTTTCTAATCAATCACCTCAAATTTAGGGACGGCTAGCACAGATATTCCTCCATTAGCCTTGCGCGAAATTCAACAAATAAACATTCCCAATCCTTTCTATTTATGAAAACTCGGCTGAGATTTGCGATCAAAGAAAGTTCGAACATAAAACTGCTCATATCATAAAAAGATGTTTGTTACTTTTTTGCTAAGTCCAAGATGTCACGCGTTTTTACATTTCAGTATCTGCTTGCTATGCAGCTATTGGTTTGTCAACGTTTTCTCGACCTTATTTTCTAGCGCTCATTTTTATTCTTACAGCGTGTGTTTGTGTTGAATGTATTTGAATGATAATATAATGCGCATGATCTTTGCTTTTCTGCAAATATTTTTTTTACTATCACAATTTTAAAGGGAGGTATGTAGTTTTTTACGTAAAATTACACGATCTTAAGTTCTTATTAATTAATTATAATGAGAACTGGGTAGTCGAATTCATATTCAGTTTAAATAGCACAAAGATATGTATTATCCACATCTGATAGAACATGATTTTCAACTGATTTGATCATTACTGTTTTTAACTCCCGTTCTGTTCTGTTAAAAACTGATTATTTTATCACAACAAAAAATAGCACAGTTTACGATTTTGTAATAATGCAAAAACCCTAATTTACTTTACGGATTTCCTTTCAGTTCGAAGCGAGATTGAAACCCCCCATGTTAATTTGTGCATTATATCTTGTACACATTTTACTGGTTTTCGAAGTTCCAACTTCAATAAAAGTAAATGAAGTTACAAACAAGAAATCTGTAATTATATGTAATTAAGTAACTGGAGAGAAGATACCTGTAAAGAAGAAACAGCCTTTATTAATATCTTAATTAAAATCTAAAGGGTGGTTAAAACAGATGAAAGGACGGTCACTTATTTCATTATAAATGTAGTAGTTGCGTATGGCGTTTCTCATACTTCCAAATTCGTAGTCTTGATCCAGTCAATGAATGCCTCGCCCGCGTCATGGATATTACAAATGTAAAACATTGTCAGAATCCCACAATGATTAGATTCTTTTTATTCAGTCATAGATAAATTTTTGACCTTATGGAAATTGATGATTATACTGATTCCGGCAAAGCTCTAGATTAACATTTGTACATCAGTTTATGGAGATCACTTTTATTATTTCTTTTCAAAACGTCGCTCAGTATACAATATTTCGGGGTTCGATACTCGTGGTGGGCATAGCACAGATAGTCCGTTGTGTATCTTTGCACTTAACGACATACAAATAAATAATATTTTAGAAAAAAACCAGTAAAAGTGTTTTTATTTACGGATCAAACTAGATGAGAAAAAGTAAGAACTTTAACAAGTGAAACATATTATTTGTTTTTCAGTTTGAAAATTCAATTTATTTGCTACTGAAGTTTGAGGAATATTGTGCATCTGATAAGGCAGCTGAATTCAATTTTCCGAACATTCAATGATTTTTATTTCGATATCCTTACATACCGCCTTATTAAAACTAATCGAGAATTAACTATTTAACTTTATGTCGCACTGAAAAAACAGCAAAGAACGTTCACAGATTTATCAAGCATCTGCAGATTGTGAATATAATGTATAATGACCGATTTCTGAAGTTCTTTTTTTTTTCGAGAGTTGTTATAGTCTTGCAAGTTTTTCCTAAAAGCCGAACCTAAAGAATCAAATCGAACTCATGAAAATTAATTCAAAGTAACTTAATCATATACTTTTTCCCGAAGCTTATTTTACTTCTGGCTCATTTAAGAGTAAGAAGATCTCCCGATAACAAGTTCCTCTGAAGTACTGCTAAGTTTTTGTATATATAAGTAAATAATAAAATAAATTTCTTTTTTTAAAAATTACATTGGCTTTGTACTAAGATTGATTCAGAGCATCATTGACGACATCTGAGGTTTGGTTCTTTTTTTTAGAAATTGTTATCTGGATAGTATCCTACTGTATTATTTCCACAACCAATCACTTGTTACGATCTGACAAAACAGCGTCGAATAAAAATATTCAATTAAAACTAGCAATAGCTTTAATAGCCGGGGTAATGAAACAAAACTGAAACTGTCTGTAAATGTGAGCAGTATTTTATTAATCTAACACTCCTACAAAGTTTCGTTAACAGCTTATCCAAATCCGAAATAAAATTGTAATTCCCATCAATTTCCACTTGTACCTTGGACGTTATAAAGGTCAGGTGTGACCTATAACGTATAATAGCTATTATATATACATGAAACCCAGATGAATTCAGCATATGTTTAATGGAAATTATACAGTAATAACTGTATAAAATTAAAACGTCGCTTTATTTTCTTAAATACGGAGCAATTAAAGCATAGAAAATTTTAACGAGGTAACATGTAGATGTATACATTTAGTGTGACTAAAAGCTCACTAAACTCTGTAGGTTTTCTTCTTTTGTTTGTTTCAGAATTTTACACCACTAACTTTGAGCGGATAGACTAAAGATATGCCGTCAATTCTTGGCATATTTTTATCTGAGATAATAGTGATATTTGATTATTTGATCGTCATTTTTACAGCGCATTCACGGTTCCAAAGTTCGGAGAGCGTAGTTGCAGCAACTGGTTGCGAAAAATTAATTGTAGAGCTCATATAAAGCAAAAAATCTTTGTGTTTGTCTGTCCGTTACCTAACCACTCCTAAGTCACTGGGTCAATCTCAACCAAACTTTGTGGAATGATAGTTTTGAACAAGAGACATGTTAACTCCCCGTTATTGCTTTTATTGAGCATTTATTATATTTGACGTAAG